CAGGCCCTGATTCATGGCCTCAACCGACACTACTACAGCATTGCGATCAACTACCGCAAGACGGGTCTGGAAGAGAACATGCTGATGAACCTGCACAAGCACGTCTGGACGGAGGCACTGCAGATGAAGGACTTCCACGACGAGGGTGAGCACAACGTCGAGCGCATGAAGCAGCTCGTCAGCCTGGCTGAGGGCTATGAGAAGCGGGTCAAGGAGGAGACGGAGTTGAGTAAGGACCAGCTCAAGACGAGATATGTCGGAAAGGTCGACCCGAAGAAGCGTAAGCTATATGCAGTACTCCCGTCTTGTCGGATCAGGACTAAACCCATATTACAGACATCGAAGACGTCAGTCAGCAGCTGATCGAGGATAATATCGTCGCCGTCTCCCGACAGATGATCGATAAGGAGGCATCCGTGGCACGGCAATCCAATGGAACCGAGTCCCAGAACGGCGCTGGTATGGAGGTGGACGAAGAGCTCTAAGCATGTATTAAGCTGTCGATCAACGTATAATATCTGTCTCTGAATGCATACCACGAGTGAAAGCGATTTCCTTCTTACTGGACAGGTTTCATGTGCGGAGACGGACGATAGTCTTGAGTTTTGGCAGTTACCAGCTACGAATGATGTCAACGTTACAGTGGCGATCTGAGTCATGTGGACGCTATGGAAAGAAACTCATTGCAGAATGACTTCAAGTCGTATAAATGCGTAAACCATGAAATCGCTAACCAATCTAAAAATATCTAATCTATGATGCGAAGAATGTCCGTATATGTTGAGCACATCTCACAGCATCAATCCGCCTCGTTCCGAGTCTGCGTATATTGTACAGTATATATGCGTGCGTGTGTGTGTATATGTATAGATAATCGTCTCTCGTCACGATTCGACAACCGTAGCCGTCTCCGGCATGAGCGTCTCCGGCATAAACCCCGCAGGCATCATGGCCTTCAAGCGAGCGAGCTGCTGTGCCCGGTGTTCCTCCGCCTTGGCTTCCTGGGCCTTGAGACCGTAAGCGTCCTCGTCGAACTCCTCGCCGTCGTAATCCGTCCATCCGCGGTCGGGGCCCCAGGCGATCTTCTTCCGCGCCGCGCGCGCCTCGTGCAGCAGGCGCTTCATCAGGCCGCCGCTCTTGCGCACGGAGGGCCAGGCGTCGAACTCGACGTACTCGAGATTGGGCAGCCGGGCCAGGACCTCGTGCAGGATGTTGCCGGAGAAGTTGGTGTAGAAGTCGCGGGAGATGCGGAAGCCCTCGAAGACCGGGTGGGAGGGGTCGACCTCCAGGAACACCTTCAGGGTGCGGATGCGGACCATCTCCTCCAGCCCCAGGGACGGGGTGACGCGCCACGCGGTCGGGGGGTCGGTCCAGCTGGAGCCCAGGATCAGCTCGATGGTGGCGATGGAGGGCCGGTACTGCGGCGCGATCGCCCGCACCGTCGGCATCTTCGAGTAGTCCTGCAGGTGGAACAGGCGGAACACCTGTGTCGAGTAGAAGTAGTCGGCCGCCTCGTCGTGCAGGCGCCGCGACGCCAGGAAGAGCGCAATCCGGTGCGACGCCGGGGCCAGCGGCGGGTTCTTCTTCGATGAGGCGCCCACGCTGCCCGCCGCGCGCACCGTCCGCCGCCGCTTCGGCGTGAACAGCACGTAGTGGTAGACGCGCAGCCGGATCTCCGAGGGGAGGTCGAAGAAGCGGAAGGGCTCGATCGCCGCTTTGCCTTTCTTCCGTTGCGGGCGCAGGTTCTTCGAGCCCTTGCTGGGCGGTGGTGGTCGTCGCGCACCGCCGCCCAGGTTTAGTTTCTCCAGGTCTCGGGAGAGGGACGAGGTCATCTTGCGTCGTCGGGAGGACCAATCGATATATGTATGTGGTCGAGTTTTTGTGTTCTAAGGTTCGCGGCCGAAAACAATGGGAAAGTTTATGCGGCACAATACGAAGAATAAAAAAGCAGAGATCTTTTTTTAACCGAGATAATGCAAGCTTCGGTCATCCATCGCTACATTTAACGACTGGGTTCATAGGTTGACATGACCCTGGATGGACGCGGATGCAAATGGATCGGATCGCTGACAGCAACTACTTAGCCGAAGAGGCGAAATCAATCAAGAGGATTATATCCCACTAACGGGGCTGCAGCTGCAGAGGAGACCTTTGCTGCGGCTCTTGGGTGTGGGATTGAAGCAGAACTTCATTGGTCTCCCCAGCTAATACAACCCGGCATGCATATAATTGGCACGAAGGGTCAAATTTGTGGACTGGGTTTCAACTTTCATTTGGTTAAAGAAGAAAAAGAAAAAAAAGAAGAGGAAAGAATTGGCAGGAGACGGAGGATTTTATATGGAGAAATAAGCTGCGTTGAAGGGCTCTGTCGCCACCCGGAGCAGTGCTGGTCCGTGCCTTGAACTTTTTTGCAGTGACGGAGGGAGGGAGAGAAGAGAGAGAGAGAGCTTGCCAGTGCAAGTGTTAGTTAGCGTCCGTCTTCTCCGCCCGCCGACCTCTGCCGATTTTCCTAAACTTGACCAGACACTTTGGATCATCGATTCTTGACCCTGCCATTCTTCTCATCCCACATTGGTCTTTTTATTACCTGCCGTGTGCTGTGTGCGCTCTGCGGTGCATGTGTAAACTGTCTATCACCATCCATTTCTAAATTCCTTCCATCGATCCTCCTCCCCCATCCATTCATAATGCTTAGCCGGGCCGTACTGCCTCTGACGAGGCCTAATATCCTCGCTTCAACTGTCCGTGCTTCAACCGTCACAGTCCCTCACTCGCGCTGGTATGCAAAGAACAGCAAACCGAAATCTTCCTACAACCTTCCCGACTCCATCAAGGCCTCGCAGGCCAAGCAGCCCTCTCAGGCTCCGGCTCCCAAGCAAGAAGACAAGCAAGCAGATTATTCCGCAGAGCAGGCCGAATTTGATACCAAGGCCGACCCGCAGAGCAATGCCTCTTCCCAACAGACCTCCGTGAGTTGCGCCGCATCCTACTGATACTTAAGCCTGTTCAGCTGACCAGTGTGGCTCTACTAGCCTGAATCACACGCACCCGAAGAAAAGGAACTCCCTCGCCAGCCCCTCCCCGACCTTACCCAGGGTATCCCCTCCACCCTCGCGGCCGAGTTGGAAGCTCGCCAGACCGGTCGTCCATCTACCACTCTGAACCTCACCGAGGACCCCTCCCGCGCCGAAGACTACGCCGAAGATGAGGGTCGCGGCGATAAATCCAAAGACCACTATACTTCCTCCCTCGACCGCAAGCGCGCCCGCATGGCCAATCTGTTCTCGGCGCTGTTCTTGCTGGCCGGTGCTGGTGGAGTGGCTTACCTGGGCCGGAACTGGGAGAACGAGTTGGAAGAGAAGGCTCACCCTGAGACTCCGTCCGGTTGGGGACTGGGACTGTGGTATAACCGCGCCAAGGCCCGTCTCGGTGACATCACCAGCTACTACAAGGACCCGGCCTTCCCCAAGTTGCTGCCGGACGAGGACCCCAACATGCGCCAGCCCTACACTCTGGTGCTGAGTCTGGAGGACCTGCTGGTGCACAGCGAGTGGAGCCGCGAACATGGCTGGCGTGTGGCCAAGCGACCCGGTGTCGACTACTTCCTCCGGTATCTGAACCAGTACTACGAGCTCGTCCTGTTCACCAGCGTGCCCAGCATGATGGCCGACCAGGTGCTCCGGAAGCTCGACCCCTACCGCATCATCCGCTGGCCCCTGTTCAGAGAGGCCACCAGATATAAGGACGGTGAATACATCAAGGTATGACGCAATTGACTCGAGCTGGCTGTTTTCCATCCTCCTCACTAACATGGACTGCATAGGATCTGTCATACCTGAACCGTGATCTCTCCAAGGTCATCCTTCTTGACACTAAGGAGGAGCACGCTCGCTTGCAGCCCGAGAACGCTATCGTCCTTGACAAGTGGCGTGGCGACCCCAAGGACAAGACCCTGGTCGCCTTGATCCCTTTCCTGGAATACCTCGCCGGCATGGGCGTTGAGGATGTGCGCCCCGTCCTCAAGTCCTTCGAGGGCTCGTCTATCCCCGTCGAATTCGCCAAGCGTGAGAAGGCCATGCGCGAGCGCTTCGAGCAGGAACTCGCCGAGGAGCAGAAGCGCCGCCCCCGGAGTGGTCTGGGCGGCTTCGCCTCCGCTCTGGGTCTGAAGTCCAACCGGACTCTGGACGGCGAGCAGAGCCCCGCGGAGGGCCTGGCCCAGGGTAAGATGCTCTGGGACCAGATCCGCGAGCGCGGCCAGAAGAACTACGAGATGATCGAGAAGGAGATCCGCGAAAACGGCGAGAAGTGGCTGGCCGAGATGGCCGCCGAGGAGGAGAAGGCTCGTCAGGAACAGATGGCCATGATGAAGGGCTCCTTGACCGGCATGTTCGGTGCTGGTGGTGACAAGAAGCAGTAAGCAAAAAAGTGAAACCGATCATCACTTGCTTGTGTTCTTGGTCGCAGGAGCACTCTTTATGAGAGCGGGTGCTTGGGTTCCATACGAGCGCCACAAACGAACTTCCTCTCTCTGTCTCTCTCCTCTTCTTTTTTCCGTGTCTTTGTCTTCCCTTTCCTTTTATAATCTACGTATACCTGGGGTACACTGTTGTTACTGTTGTTCTCGGGACCGGGGTTTTCATGTTGTGTTTTTTTTTCTCTCTCTCTTTCCTTAGAAGCAGGGGTTTCTGTCCCGCGCACCCATCCTTTGATCACGGGTTGATTGTAAAATAGCATACTTTTTTTTTTCCCGTTGTTGTTGTCCACCTAGGAGGGAGGTTATGTATAAATTGGAAATAAAATCCTAATCATATGCATGGTTTCTGTATTACCTGCGCGTAGAGGGTAAGCTGAATTGCACGGTAGGTCTTACCGATGGTGTCGACCCGATGAGCTGAAGTATATATTTCCGGCGGCCCACCCAGGTCCCTACAACCATTTGTCTGCCGAACCGCCAGATTTCCGCAATCGCAGAACAATCGCAGCGGCAGTCGAGCTTCTATGCCATAAAAGGTATGTATGTTTGTAGTATTCTTCTTCTCTCTAAGCAGAAAGAACCCGCAACACAGCGACAGCAGCAGTAACTATGCACTCACTGCCTCAATGGGTATATTCTAAAAAAAAACAAAAACAAAACAAGACAGAAAGCCTCTCCTCTCCCCTCCTTCCTCCTTCCACCCCAACCTCCACATTCACTCTCCCTCACCCTCACTTTCGACTCTTTTGTTGAAAAGACAGAGGGGGAAAAAGATCAAGTAGTCGAAAGGGATGAGGTGGGTATCTATACTCTCGTTGAAAAATGAGCATGATTTGGTAGTGATCATCCCCAAAAAAAATCAATGAGAAACCTGGGGTAGTCGATTACATAGAGTGTTACGGTCATGTTGCCTTGTTCAAGGATTTCTTTCTCTGCGGGCTTTTACGATAGGTTGACGTCCTGGAAGACGGACACGTCCCAGATGCCGGTCATATCGAAGGGAAAGCCGTCCATGGTGCCGAACGTGCCGGAGATGGACATCATGTCGTCGACGATGTCGTTGTTGGTCTGCGTCTCGGGGAGCGAGATGGCCGCCGGGTTGACGAGACGGCCTGTGGCCCCCGGGTGGTCGGACGCGCCGCCCGCGCCGCCTGCGCCGCCGCCGCCCAACATGCCGCCGCCGAGGCCGATGACCTGGCTGAAGGTCGTGTCGGGGTTGGTGGCACCACCGCCGGCGCCGGCGCCGGCGCTGCCCGGGGGCGCCGCTAGGCGGCTGAGGAGCCGTTCGCAGTGGTCCAAGCACATGTCGGCGACGTCCCAGTCCTCGTCCTCGCGGACGCGGCGCAGGATGGCGCGGAAGGTCTCGACGTTGGCGAGGCAGGACCGCGCGACTTCGCTGTCGGTGGTTTCGAGGGCGCAGCGGACGAGAAGCGTTGCGGTTGTGGTGAGGTGGAATGCGCTGTCTGTTTTGGGGTTGGGTTGGGTTGTTAGTCTCTGGCTTGGCTGGCAGAATGGGTCCAGGAGTCACAAAAGTGAGAGAGAGGTGCTTACATGGTAGCCAGAATTCTTGGAAATTCTCCTTGCGAAGAGAGGAGATGAATTGTACTATCTCCTCCGCCGATTTGCGGCATTCAGTCTGGAAATACCGGCGTGCTTCCGGGTTTTCGGTCTCCGAGTTGTTCACCTCCTACGAATTTGTTAGCTTGGCTGGGCAGGAGGTGTCTTGTAGCAGGTGCGTCGCTCACGTTCAATTCCACCCGGCTCACTAGCATCTTAACAGCCAGAAACGCTAGTTGAAGACTGCTGGTTCCGGAGATGCGTCCCTCAGAGGTACGTGGAGGGTTTCTCAGCCAGTCAGGCAGCGAGTCCTCCCAGACGTCGAGGTCCGTCCGGATCTGTCTCACTTTCTTGGTGGTTTCGCGCGCGAATCGGTGCTGAAGACCGTAGACAAGGGGCAGTAGCTCGCCCAGAATCTCCGTCAATTGGCACAGCGCGATGTGGCAATGCGCGGCTCGGACGCGTTCAGGGGTGCGAGATGCTGGTGGTATAAGTACGTCGATTGTCGGAAGAGGGACGTCGTACTGATTCTTTGCGATCTGTGGCGGTACACCGTGACCGAAGCTCCCCCTGGAACCAATGTCAGTAACCCTTTCTTACTGCGCAGATACGGTACCTACCATCGATCGTGGATGACCACTCCCCACCATAAGCGCATGCGATGATTCTTTTCAGCCGGGGACAGTTTCCAATGACTAGGGTCGCGATTGAGTCCGAGACAGTGTGCGAGGGAGACCATACGGCCGCTACTGATCGCATTTCCAGTCATGGAGAAGATCGGGCGACCGGTCAAATCAATGAGGGCGGCGCTTATGGTAGACAGACCAGGGGCGGAGAATTCCTCGTGTAGAGCGGCCACGGTCATATTGACCGCGTAACGGACGTCTGGTTTTGGATGACACGCCAGCTTGGGAGTGTGCTTCCAATACACTAAAGACATCGAATAAACCTGACACAAAAGAGAGGCTGGCGGGTCCCCGGGAGTCTCAGAGATAAAAGCCTCCCAGAAGCTTTCTCCATCGAAGATGGGGAACGCCGCGTTGAACCTGTCAATGAACCTATTTTGGGTGGTTAGTAGGTCATTCCGATCCAATCCGATCCTAGACGGAGACATACAGTCTAACTAGGTCGTGCTTGAAAGGTCCTAAGATCTGCTCCAGAATTTCTTTCTGATTCTCTCCCGGCGGAATACCAACGCGCATTCCCTGTCTTCGTCTCGAAACCGTCGTGTACAAAATGGGCTTCCTTGGATCGCTCGAGTAGACATTATACGTATTGTTCTTCGGTTCTACGGACTTGCTCGTCCGCTCGGTGGGCATGTACTTTTCAATTACTTGGGCGTCGTCAGCCACCACAGGCCCAACAATGAGGACAGACTCATTGTGAGGATCATCGAATCTGGACTCGCTTCCTCGATGGCCACCGGCCGAGTCTGTCTGGGGAACACTGGATGCCCGTGGGCGGCTGCCACTTGCCGGGGAGCCGACTTCTGAGCTGCGCTTACGCTTCTGACCAACAGTCGACACTTGCGCCGGATCTGCGGACCAGCGTTTGGTGTCATGGCCGTCTGAGAGTGGAGCATCCTGGCTGGAATCCTCCTGGTAGTGGCAATCGGCGCCCTGCACGCGACACAACAGACACGACTGGCCGGGTATATCCACAGTGCACCGAGACTTGCGCTTCCTGCACAGATCACATGCCCTGACCTTATGTGACCTGTATGGTCTGGCGCCGGCGTTGAATCCCGGAGAGGCGAGCTTCTGGGTGGAGCTACTCGGAGCTGTCGTCGACGACATGATGAGCCTTCAGCAAACGGGCGACCTGCTCGGAATTCTTGTGAAGATCATCAACTAATCGTAAGCCAATTGAGGACACTGCAAATCATGCAATCGTGATAGAGGGCGAACACCGTCGAGTGCGAAGCGTGCGTATGGTGGAGGATCGGATCTAGGCCGGCCACCGATGATCGGGGAACAAGCGCTGTACCCGGCTAAATGACTCTGAGAGTGGGAGAGGAAAGCATTGATCCGGGGTAAGCTAGTCGCGAAGCTGCGCCAAGTACTGCATGGTCACTCAGCATACAAAAATCAAACAGGCATTGCGATGAGCGAAGAGTTCACTTTTGGGAGAGGGGGTGGTTCGGTCCATCCAGCGCGGGATGATGATTATTATTTCCCTTGCGTTTTCTCCGAATCCGATAAAATCTTCGTTCTTATCGGCTGCTGTGAAGTTGTGGGGAGGAAAAGAGCTGAGTCAGCGGGTCAGACCAACCACGTGCTCTAAAATGGAAGTCCGTATTCACATCGGGTGGACTAGGCCCAAATGGGACTGGACAGGGTCCCCGCGCCCGCCTCAGGCCTATTTCAGGCACCCGTTTCACTTTCTCCCCGCCTGGCACGCGCGAACGGACTTACAGTGAGCTCACTCATTCATGACTTACTTACCTCTCATCCACTCTCCGAGTACTCCGTACAGCCCAGCTGATTGATCGATTATTTGCCAGACCATGCAGCCAACGCATGGACTTGCTGTCTCTTCTTATGCCTCTTTAGCTTAGCTTAGCCCTGTTTGAGTTTTATCCACTGAAACCGGACCAGACGATCACCGTTGCATTGGTCTACATTGGTCTACGTTTGGAGAGACACAGCCACCGGGGTCGCTAGTTGGCGCTTCCCGTGCTTTCCACTCACCAGAGTCACCACCACCCACACCACACCCCCCAACGCGCCAAATCCTGCGTTCGGGATCCTGCCAACTTCCCCTACATATCCCGCCATGATGCTGGATGGGTGCAATTGATCCTATAATTGTGTCTACATTTGTCTTTAGCAAATGTAGGCACCCATGGGTTGGACATCGTTGATCATGGATGAGGATGTCCTATTACCTGCGGCTGAGCGGCTCGATGGGCCCCATCAAGATGATGATGACCAGCAACCGACAACATGTTTGATCAAGCTGCAAAGCGATATGATAAAGCAGGAGAAAGAGCTCGCAGGCGAGCAACGTTCCTCACCCTTTGCCCGTTTACCTCGCACAGTCATTGAACAGTAAGTAGTCACTTTCTTCTATTTCTTCTAGCTGGTCGGCTGGGAGGCGCTTGTTCGCTTCTCCATATCGCTCACCCGCACTGCGCGGTAACTTGACCTATATGCGGTTCGTTCTTAACGAGTTACACAGTATCCTTTTCGTTGCGGATGCAAATACATTCGCCTCACTAGCCTTACTGAATCGCAAATGGAGGCGGATTTCCGACTCGACTCTGCTATACTCTCATCATTTAGCCCAATGCCCATCTTTCTCTCTGACCCAGAAAGCCATCGCGGAGCCATGTCAGCAGCCATGCGACCTGTCACACCTCAAACAAGTGTTTTACACTCAAATCAGACGGAATGCTTTTGAGACCTTCTTGCGACCTCGCAAGACTCTAATCAAGCTGATATCGACCTCGATGAGCTCGTCAACGGCATTTCCGCAGGGCGAAGCTTTCCGGTTCTCTTTCTCCCCCAACGGTCAACTAATCCTGTGCATCAGTTCCTCTCGAATTGTTGTCCTTGACGTCACCTCAAACCCTGCTTCAGTGAAGCATGAACTCAAAACCTGGAGGCGTCCATTGCATGCCGCGATCATTGACGACGGGTCTCTGCTTGCGGTGGTTTCTTCTAGCCATCGTGTCAATGTTTACAGTCTTTGTGACGAGGAAGTAAGACTGGTCCAAGACCTAGCCTTGAACGATGTTCCTCGGACGCTAGCACTATCTCCCACGGGAGGTGTGCTTGCTATTGCGTATGATGATCGCATTGAAGTACATGCGACCGGGGAGGGGGTACTGGCCACCGAGAGACGAGCCGTGCGCTGCTCTGGCGTCGACTCTGTCTCTTTCTCTGCAGATGGAGCCATGCTTCTTGGCACTTCTGCCGATCCTCAAAATAGTGGCTTGGTCACGATAACAGTACCGTTCTATGCCGAATCGGAGCCGGAACTCTCTCTGAGAGATGTCCATAGACGGATGTGGACTACTCAAATCCTTTTTCCGGATGTTGCCACGGGCTTCAGTCGCGCATGTATGCTTCCCCTCCACTCCGAGGGCGAAGGTAGCTGGATCATGGGTTTTGATGAACAAATCAACTCACTCCGAGCGTTTGGGGCCAATAACACTAGCTCAGGTACAACGTACTTTGTGACGCCCATGTCCGATGATGGAACCAGAGAATCTGCCCCTACCATGCTACCTACTGTTGATGCTATGGGGGAACTGGTTGCGGCTGGCTTTAAGGAATCTGGTCTTTGGGTGTATGGCATACCCGATCGTCTGGATATCGCTCCTGTAGCGACTAGTACACGACCACCAGCTGGGTCCGATGGGGAGCTGTGCCACTGGGAACACGAAGGCGCGCTACCTGGTGAAGATTGCTCATCTCGACTGCAGCGGTCGATCACTAAACCAAAAGTACTCATTAAGGGTCATAAAATCAGTGATATGCCGGGCATGACTGCAGCCCACTGGGTGGAATGTACGGGTCTCGCTGCAGAAAATCGTCGCTTGGTGGCCGTCGCACCAGGTGGCATCAACCCCCCAACCATTGGCGAAGAAGATGTGCCGGTGGATGGTGGACGAGTCCTTCTGCTGGACTTTGCACGTTCAGCGAGCGATGGCAATTATACCGAGATTAGCATTGAGATTGGTGATGCGGAACCAAAAATGCTTTATGAGCCAGACTCGAGTCTAGACACCGAGGTAGAACTAGAAAGAAGAAGGACTCGCATACACCGTGCAAGCGCTACGTCGCCGCGAGCCAGAGCTTTCGCTAGGGAGTCATATCCGTCGGCCCATTTGGTGTCTCACGCTTCTCGGCCGAATATTCGCCGCAACAGCTCCTTCTTCTCCAGTTCTTCGAATGGAGATGCGTATCATATCCCAGAGTCCCCGTATGACAATGGGCAACCGCGATCTAGGGATACACTGCGTCGTGCTGCGACTGCTGCTGCCAACACGAGGGAACGATATCACCCTCCACATCGCGATGCGCAGTCCCCCATCCACCCGAGACCAGCCTCGCAGACCTTCCAGGTACCTCATGAAAGTGACGCTGACAACTGGGTCCCGCCTCCCCCACCCTATACTCGCGTGCCAGATGCACCTCTCCCTGATCATTTGCGAAGGACTCTGCTACCCTCTAGGACAGAGCCGATCACCCGAGTTGGCGAACCTCCGGCCGAAGTCCAGCGCTCGCAAACCACCCGTCTAGAGAACATGGTCGAAGAATCGTCCTCTCGGGTGTCACTGCACAGATTGAACAGCATCGCGAGCTCGAGGCTCGCTTCTCGCCTAATGCGAAATAGCACCAGAGAGCCCGTATTTCCTGAACGAGCGCGCAGGCAAAACACATTCATGCGCAGGAGAAGAAGTTCAGCCACCGGCGCTCCGCACACCATCGAGGACACGAACGGACTCGCACCGCTGGTCACTCCTTCTCAAGAACATGTCGAGCAGCATATACACTTCCAACTAGAGAGCATAGCCGACTACCCAGCGCAGCCTGACCGATCCGTGCCCCTCCTCTCCACTGACCCATCTCTACCGCCATCGAATTCTCAAGCCAACTACGCCAATCCGTCGCCCGAGCAGCCTACCATGCATGCCCGCATCGACGTTCCGGGAACCATTCCCGCCACGCAGGAGCTCGGCAACACCCGCCAGTACTCCTTCTCCTCTCCTAACCTCCAAGTTCCATCCGCCTTGCAGTACGATGCTCCAGAAGTCCTCCAAGACAGTCATATGCGCTCCGGCTACCCCCACCAGGTGGGCGACCGCCGTCCGCAATCCCAGGACCTTCCACTACCGCTGATAGGGGCCAGCATTCAACCCCTGCACCACCGGGCCTCGACGGATCCCACGCTATCCGCCAGCTCTCAAGCGGCCGCCCATGACCTGTGGCGGAGACGCATAGAGGAGTGGAACGAACAAACTATTTACGAGAGGAGCAAACGACGAAGCAAGTGTATTGTGATGTAGCAGGGCTGCTTTTTCCCATTTTGTTTTTTCATCAGATCTCGACTCGATTTGCTTTTTTTCTTTCTGGGTTGCATCATTGGTTTCGAAGATTTGGAGTGTATATTGATAGGACCAGGAACATATTTGGGATTGTAGAGCGATGGCGTCGTTTTCTTTGTTCTAGAGTCTGGGACTATTGTCTATATGTTACAGGTAAGAAGTTGGCTTCTTGTATATTCAGACGCATCAGGAGGGCCGGGGTTGACCCAGTCTCGTGTGATTGGAATCGGAATGTCTCATTCATATTTCAGCATCCGCGAAACGTGTTTCAATGTGAACTGGCTAAATTTAAGATGTCAGAAGCAAATAATTAGATACTGATCATTGTCGTCGTGCACGAATTTCAGAGCATACGGAAAGCATGCACACCACAAACATCGCAGTTTAACTGCCCCCGCCCCCTCCACCACAACCTCCCCCTCCGCCTCCACCTCCGCAACCTCCACCACCGCCGCCGCAACCAGCCCCTGCACCACCACAACCCCCAACACCACCGCACCCACCCCCAGCACAACCCCCGGAGCAATTCCCTCCCATCCCTCCACAGCTGCCCGCCGCAACCCCACCTCCACACGTCCCCGCCGCACAGTTCCCATGCACCCCTTCCACGAAACTCATACAGCTGGGGTTCGCCACATACGCATCCGCATGCACCCCGGGGTCACAGGTATACGGGGCATAGAAGGGCACGTAGACCGGATACCCCCACAGCAGAGGGTAGTAGCCATAGACGGGGTCCAC